CTCCCTCTCCCTTACCCTCTCTCTCTATCTATCCATCCATCCATCTCTAATCTCGTGCTTTATTCTCTCTCTTTCTATCGATCTCCATCTCAGTTCGTCTTTTAACGTCGGGTCCCCTCACAATTGTCTCATATTAGCAGTTCAAAAAATTCAAAAATTAACAGTAAATTAAATCTTACGAAACTTTTGACGGTTTGCTACAAAAACGCAAAAGTCGTTGCAGACAGTTAATTTTTTCGAATTCTTCTGTCCTCTCTTGGGTTTGATGGATCAATTATACATTATTATAATTTAACTGTGTAAAACTTGTAATAACGTTTTGACCTTTTAAAAAGCGTAGTCGATTTTGTGTTAAACTGTACATTTTATAGTTTTCATATTTGATTATTAATGGATTTGAATGAATTATGATTTCTTTTCTTCAATAAAACCAGAGATAACGTGTTGTTTACGTCTTGCGTGTACACTAGTCATACTGGACAAGTGGAAGTCTTTCCTTAAAGGGCTTGGTTGGATTTCAAGACCACACCTATGTCAGATGACCGACCCCATAGGCAGTAGCCTTCAGTCCTTAGAAGAAGAAGAAATAGTAATAGTTGAACCTGAAATAACGGTGTTTCGTCTGCGTGATTTATAATGACCTTTTACAACGTTCGTTATGAAAAATTCAGCTCGAGTAAATTTTCGCTCTCGATGTTGATTTGTTTCAATAGGTGGGGTGCCCTTTTAAAACAAGCTATCTGTTTATTTTTGTTTTAGAAAATCCCTTTATTTCTTCAATATCAATATCAAGGATGTAGGAAACTGATTGCCCCTGAAAGGTCGTGGGTACTAAAATCCAGCCTACCCTTTATATTTGGTTATCCATTTTTTTCTCGGCTTGATTCGGGGTATTCGGAATAGCCTTTAAAATTTGCATACTGCGCGTCATTATAATGCTTGGCGGGATTTCAACTTCGATTTTTCAATAAGAAACTAGACAGTAACTTTTTAAATTATTAATGGTAATTTTATAATTTTCAATTTTTTTCATAAAATACACTAAGAATTACTAATCATCCAACTCTGATAGACATATTAAACATGCTTTTAAATTTTTGTTTAAAAATTTATTAACTTGAGAATAAGAAAACCCCAGGGTTTTTAAATTTATATTTAATGATATAAAATTAATCAAATATGGTATGACCAATAAATAATCATTGTTCAACTGTTGATTGTTGACAAATTTTCAAAAATGTCTATTAACTGCTTTTTTCTTAACGTCTCAATGTTCTTTTTCTACTTTTGTTGCACTCTCTCTCTTTCTCTCACTCTCTCTCTCTCTCTCTCTCTCTCTCTCTCTCTCTCTCTCTCCTCTTCTTGTCTTCCTGTCTCCCATCTTTTACGTTTTTCCCTCTCTCTTACCCTCATATCTTTCTCATTTTGTCTTCTTTTTTGTCTGTTGTTTTTCTTCTTCCGTGCGATTTGAAACGATGAGAGGTATGACTTCAGGTCATATTTTATTTTCTCACACGACCCTTTGTTACAACTCCACTTTTTTCTTTATTATTATTATTCTCTCGTTGTCTCTTCTTTGCATCTTCTTCCTTCTCCTTTCTTGGTTTTTTCCCTACTGTTATTTTGTTCTGCCGTTCACTTTCCATAACTTTAAGTTTATTTTTATTTGTCCTTGTTTTTTATTTGTTTTTATTCTTTCCATTTTATTGTGTTCTGTTTTACCGACCATCTTTCATTTTATTTATCTATTTCTCTTTTATTTTGCCGTTGATCTGTTCACATGTAACTTTCTGCTTTTTTTCTTTCTATTTGACCCTTCCTAGTTTTCTCGTGTAGTTAGGTGGTATCAGGTAAAATGTGAAACATTGCGTTATCGATTCTTCTCATTTACATCCTTTATCTTTACATTTCATCTTTCATCACTTCCTCATTTTTTATCTTCTTCCTTCCTCCGTACCATAGATTTTTCCCCACTTCGCATACCTTCTCTTTTATATTTCTCCCTCATTTTGTATTGTTACGGGAGAGTGAAACAGAGATTGATTTCAGATGAGTTTTGATTATTTGTTTTCCCCATAATTTTTGTCTTGTTCCAATCGCAAATTATTTGGGGCAAAAATATAAATTCGCGTGATGGGCAAATGAGGAAAACGCGAATGGAAAGGGGAAGCAATTTAATTTCGGGCCGGATTTTCTTCCGGCCGTCTTTCACTTAGAATCCCACGAATACTAACAGAGTTCCTTCTCAAAGCCTCCCCTCGCCTCGAAATATCTCTGATAGGATTAAATACAGCTAGGTCAACTCTCCTCTGTTTCTACTTTATAAACTCGGGAATTCCTGGGAATCGGTTTTTCCCCTTTTTTGTAGTGTTCTCAGGGATGGAAGGCTAAAATAGTATTAATTATTCGCCCCCTCGGCGTATACGCCACCCCCGATATTACAATTTCTGACATCGGCAACCCCCTTCTATACATAATTTTCGATTCTGTCTACCCGCTTTCTGACAAAGCTTTAATTTATTCCGTCCTGGAATTCGCATTCTTCCGAGGAAAACATTTAGATAGAAGCAGACCGACCCAACAACAGAAGAGTGTCACTTTCTGCTCTTTTCACCTTACTTTCCTGCCCTTTTAAGATTCTTTTCACAAGATATGCAAACTCGCTTAACATATCAATATTTTTATAAAAGAACTTTTCTTGTTGCGGAACAAACAATTTTTATTTTTAATTAAACAGTGTAGATAATTAAAAGGACATTTTAAGTTAAATCGAGGCGGTAAAATTAAACCAAATAATTCTTCAGTAAAAGTCAATATAGTTGGCTAAACACCCTGTACATCATTTTTGAACAAGTCAATAAATTTGTCCCATTTTTACACACATGACGACTAGCACCATCATTAGATGTTGTCATCATGTAGTTTGCCCGTCCTATTATATTCTATCCTTTAGAAGAAAATGGTAAAAATAGGCCTAAAGATCAGGAGAATTTTTTATTCTAGTTTCAGGCCCCAGAATCTTAGTGATTAAATTGGAGTAAGGTGCAGTCTGATATGACATTGACAGATCTGATACGATTATTCATCTTGACTGGCTGACCCTCTTTTGTATGCCAACGTACCTTTCAATCATAATCTGTTCCATTAGAATATATTGATTAAGTGTTATTTAACCTACAATACTTTCGTTTGGTAAATTTTTAATTAAAAAAAGACAGAAAAAAGTGTTACCCTTGTAATTTAGCCTATTTCTTTCCAGCTTTCCACTTTTTTGACCCTCTTCTTTTCTCTCATTTTCTTTGACTTTTCTACCTATTTTTCTCATGCTTGTCATACATTTTAGTCTCGGTTTTGAGTGAATGACTTAGAACAGAAACACAGAGGGTTATTTATAACCTTTAAGTTTTAATATATATTTTTATATAATTAATATAATTTTTTTCACATTCACTTTCATTATCTCTTCCATTTGCTCTCGATCGCTTTTGCATTTTTTCTCCATATTTTTATCTTTCCTCATTTTCTCTTTCTTACTCGTTCTATTTACTGTATCTTTGTTTGTTTAAATTGTTGGATGACCACCTTTATTACTGTGACGAGTAATCTAAATCTTGGTCTGTCTTGATGAAACAAGTAATTCAATTGTTACTGCAAAGCTTTTGACCTATTTTAAGGTACTCAATCATCAGGGCAAAACAATCTTCAACATAACTACAAATTAAGTTTTTAATAGGTTCAATTTCTTTGAACGACTCAGTGCCAACATTGCCAAGGACTGTGACCTTTTGTAGACATCTTTAAGATTGTTTTGCTCTAATTTGATCTTAAAATAGGGCAAAAGCTTTGCAGTAACAATTGAACTTTTTTTTCTTTTATTTTTCATCAAGTCCAGACTAAGATCCAGATTATTCGTGGGATCTTCTTTTTGACTCTACCATTTTGTTCTCCTCACTCTCATTCATATTTTTCACCTTATTTTTATTTGTATGGTGATTAGTGACCATTAATCGATATTTATTTAGAAATCGTGAGATGCGTCTGGTGTGATGTAGGTTTCAGAAAAACATTTTCTTTATCATGCCAACATTTCGATCTTTATTGAGATCATCTTCAGGGCCTGGGATTTACAAACATTGTTTACATATAAAAATTACATTTTGGGTGTGGAAAAGTGAATTTATACAATGCAAAATATATTTTGCAAACAATGTTGTAAATCCCAGGCCCTGAAGATGATCTCAATAAAGATCGAAACGTTGGCACGATAAAGAAAATGTTTTTCTTAAACTTATTTTTATTTTCTCACATTCATCCCAATATATAATAGAGTTTTAAGAGTAAATTAAGACTTTCATATTCATCCCAATATCTTGTGTCTTTTACTCTCCATTTTTGTAATTTTTTCTTATCTTTCCTCATCTTACTTCATCTTTTTGTTGATTAATCTATTTGTTAGACAGATTTTATATTTGTGTTAGCCAGAATATCAGAGATGTTGATTTTGAACAGTTTATTTATTTATTTTTTTTACAGTTACACTCGTGGTCATATCTGCCTTTCGCTTACCATCACTTTCTATCAGTCCTAATTTTTTATCCTTTCTCTCAGCTCCTTTTTCTATATTCCTCTGTGACTTTCCCTCTCAAGACTTCTTTTATTTTTTGTCTACTTCTCTATTTATGTTAGAAATGAATGTTTTTTTCCCATCCTCCCTCATAATTTTTATTTTATTCTTCATCCCATCTAATAGTTTCTCTGTGGTTTTCTCTTCTCCATACTTTAATTTCTTATTCAATTTCTTTTGTTTTCCTTTTCTAACTTGAATTGGTTTGGTTTAACAAGTGTGCTAGCACGAATGTGAAAACGTAGGACACTTTTTTTTTTATAATTGCATTCATTTCTTTCTCTTTCACATGTTTTTTTGCTATGTTATAACCAAAATATTAGAAAAAACTAGTAGATAGTTTGTGTACTAATTATTTATTTTTGTCTGTTCAAAGGAGCTGAAAAATGCTGTTGAAAAGAAAGAAATCGTTGAATTATGTGTAGCAGTGTAAAGGAGGGCGAAGAGAGAAAGATGGTGCTCTTCGGAGATTTCCATCTCTCTTGAACTAGGGTAAGTTTGATTTTATACCACGTTTAAACAACCATAAATCATGAATGTGTAATGTTTAAGTGATCGTTAATTACTGATTATTTAAAAATCAACCGCTTCTCACAATCTAAATAATCTTAAATCATGAATTAATGGTAAATGATTAATAATAAACATTTAGCATTGATATTTTTGTGGATGTATTTTTTTTTCTTTGCTGACAAAATCACCCTTGAACAATGTCAATGAAAGGAGACATTCAAAAGAGTGAGTTCAGCTCCTTCCAAGCTCCTCTCTTAAGTTAAGTGACAAGCCCATCAATAAACAGGGTGGTTACAAAGCCCGAGCTATTTGGCAGGCAAATAATTGACTTTGTTGATGAAACCTTTAAAACAATTTACAGTTAAAAATATTCTAAAAGGGGAACTATACCACTTATAATAGTATATTTTAAAAGCAATTATTTGTTTTTTTTAAATCAATTTTATATAATTGCTCTTTTTTTAAGATTCCTTTTTTTTCGGTTGAATGTATGTTCAATGTTTTGCCATTGGTTAGTTTTAAATATTTATTGGCAAATAGCAGGCTTGTTTTAATTCATATGACCATCTGCCAGGCATGAACCTGTAGTTTGATTGTTTGGGATCATTTTAGTTTGTCAGACACTTTTCAGCTTCCCACCAACTTTTGTTCTGGGTCTTGGAAAGTGTCTGATGGAGCAAAACCAGGCTGGCAATTTCACATTAATAATGAAAGCCGGAATGATCATGTTTTCCTTGAAGATAAATAATTTTAATTGTTTTCTTTGCATCTTGCAGTGATTGAGTCGTTGAGCAGGGGAAAACAAAAATTAACAATGGTTGACTGTGAGGGCGTTTCGCTTGGCTCAAGCTGTGCCAAACTTCCGCATTCGCACTCAGCCGAGATTTCTAAGACACCACCGCCTGGGGGGCCAAAAAACGCTGGCAAAATGCTAGCCCTTAGGGTTGTAATGCTGGATGATAATATTACTCTTTTTCAAGTTCAGGTGAGTTCTTGTGAGGTGAGTTCCCTGTTGGCTTGAAATTCTGACTTGTTATATTTCAGGCTAAAGCACTCGGCAGAGTACTGTTCGAGCAGGTATGTAAACAATTAAATCTTCTTGAAGCGGATTATTTTGGGCTCGAATATCAAGATCATAGCGGCACAAGGGTAAGTTTTACATCTTAAAAATACAATACAATTTATTTCTGCAATTATTATTTTGTTTTAGTATTGGTTGGACTTGGAAAAACAATTAAGCAGACAAGTTGGCCTTACACTTGTTGAGCCTCTATTGCATTTTTGTGTGAAATTTTACACCCCTGATCCGGCTCAACTAGAAGAAGAGTATACACGGTATCTCTTTTGTTTACAAATCAAAAGAGATCTTGCTCAGGGGCACATTCAATGCAATGATAATACTGCTGCCTTAATGGCCTCTTACATTGTACAAGGTACATTCAAATTGGTTTATTGTGTAAACATTTCATCAAAAATTCATATTTCAATCAACAGCTGAATGTGGGGATTACAATGCTGACGATTATCCAGACGCCAGTTACCTGTCAACGTATAAATTTGTGCAACATCAGGACAGAGAGCTGGAAAAAAAGATCATGGAAAATCATAAAAAACACATGTAAAACCTTATTTTCTTACTTAATACAGTTATTAATTGCATTATTACTTATGTTAATGAAATTTTAGAGGTCAACCCCCAGCCGAAGCTGATTTAAACTTGCTAGAAACAGCAAGAAGGTGTGAACTTTACGGCATGAAAATGCATCCAGTGAAAGTATGTATATAACATTATTTAAAATGTGTCTTTATTTTCTTTTTTACTTCCGCTATCTCTTGTACTCTCTTACAATTAAAAAGGAAGAAAAAATTCAGTTGTTTTCTCTTAACTGTGCAAAAAATTCTCTGGAGTGTAAAAACAGAAGAAAAGAAGAAACTAGCTTCAGTAGTTGTAAACAATTAAAGCAATGTTACTGTGGGGAACAAGTCATGTGTTATGAACAAGAAAAGTATTTTCATCAAATGTACTGTTGAAGGAAAAAATCTTTGTGTATGAACCCCAAGCTTTTTTTTTAAAAAAGATAAATTTTCTCATACAGCAGATTCTAAGAATAACCAAAGCGAAAATTTTTTCACTAAACAAAATTTTATGTTTATAATAAAGTTTAATTAATTTTATGCTTTTTCCTCTCATTGATATAAATGTAAATTAAACTTGAGGTTTTTGGCTTTGAAAACATCCAAAATTGTCTAAATTAATTCAATTACAGGGTATGATAAAACATCATTTTAGTAATGCAGCTAGAGAAATTTAACTTTTCTATATCTTAAAGATTTGAAATATTTTCCTCAGGATCATGAAGGAGTCCCATTAAATTTGGCTGTAGCTCATATGGGCATCATTGTCTTCCAAAGTTATACAAAAATTTATACATTTTCATGGGCCAAAATTAGAAAAATTTCATTCAAAAGGAGAAAGTTTCTCATCAAATTGCACCCAGATGGCTATGTAAGTTTTAGAAACAAAAATTACTTTTTTGTTGTTGCATCTTTTTCTAATGGTTGCTTGCTGTTGCAGGGCTATTATAAAGACACAGTCGAATTTTTCTTCGAGAGTCGCAATGAATGTAAAAACCTATGGAAAAAATGTGTAGAAAATCATGGCTTTTTCAGGTGCAATTCTGTTAAAAGAGTTCCGAGGCAGAGGACGAGAGTTTTAAGTAGGGGAAGTTCATTTAGGTATAACTTATTTATTAAACATTAGTCTAAATTTGCCATTGTGTTAATTGAACAAGTTTGTGTGAAACATTGGGTTTTCATCTTATTTTAGGTACAGCGGAAAGACACAAAAACAGATGGTGGAATTTGTACGTGAGAACTATGTCAAGAGGCAAAATTTTCAAAGGTAAGTTGTCATTTTATAACTAAACAATATGACAATTACAATAACTGTAGCTATAATTATACAAATTGTTATAATTTCATTATCATCTATCATATAAGGTTTTTCATTTTAAATTTTGGTTATACATAAATTGTACATACACATTGACACAAAAATGTCTTCTTTTATCTTCCCTTTTCTGACCTTTCTCTTCTCTTGACTTTTGAAATGCTTTGGCTTTTTTGCTAAGATAGATTCCCCTGTTTTTACCTTATTAAGAGAGTTGTTTAGGATATTTATTTTACACTTTTTATTATATTTTGGTTTGATTTTCATTGATTTTGTATATATAGTTTTGCCTCTTGTGTCTGGATGCCAATACGCCAAATGTAGCTATCTGTCTCACTGCCATTTAATTTTGGTTTTAATTGGTTATTTATATCATTTTTTCTATTTTTCTTTTGAAACATGTAGCAACTTTTAACGTATTTTATTTGTTTTGGTGGTTTGGTATTAGCTTATATTTAAATTTGTATTTGATGTTTACTAAATTTATCTGATTAGATTGACACTTTAAGATTGTTGAACTGTTATGTTTCTTGTTTTTACATATATGTATGTGTTTGCTGATATAATTAATTATTATAAATAAGTAATTCCAATTTCCAATGAGAGAGAAATGACTGAGAAAGTAAATTTATTATATAATTACTACCTACCTTTCCTTATAGAAAAAATTTGATGATACAGTTTCACTTATTAAATAACTATATGTTTTATTTACATTAAAATATTATAAAAGCATTTTGTTTAGGACAAACAAATTAGATGAAACAGAATTTGTCATAATTTATAAAAGAAGGTTTCTGAAATTTTTAAATTTGATATTTATTATCAACATGACCGTCTGTTTTAAATCTTGTACTTTTATTCTGAATATATTTAAATTAAAATTGTAATAAAGATATATAAAATGTTTTTCATTTTTTTAAAATTAAGTACTGTCACAATTTATATTTTTTCGAAGGCAATTGTAAGTAATTAAAAAAAGAGTAAATTATAGGCTATTAATGTTTTATATACAAAATACTGGTCTTGATTAGCTCTTGAGTCAAATAAATTATTCGTTCAACCAAATTGGAAACCTGGTATTCTACTTATTTTTAATTGGGTGGGTTACGTTAGCTCTTGTCTTCACAACCATAGAACAGAGTAAAACGTCCAAAAATTATTTTTCAGGAACTGCACTCTGTCTAGGTATGTACATCTCAATATTGTTTCTTTTTTGTTTGTGAGTGTGTGTATGTGAGTAGAAGGTAGTACATGTTTTATTTATTTTTATTTTTCGTTGATACATTCACCAGTTTTGTAGCTGATTTTGTTTTGTTTTTAATTAAATGCTATTAGTATTGTTTTACTCTTTATATATTCACTATGAAGGTTTTTTCGTAATAAAATTAGATTTTGGTTGTGATTTTTTAAAGAAAATTTTCCTTTGAAGTCTTGTCAGCTATAATTATGCAGCAGGTAGTTTGATTTTGTTGCAACGAGTATCACAAAGGCCAATATTATTTTGAATAAATTCTGAGATTATTGAAGTTTTTACACTTGTTGAGATAACAGATTATTACATAGTGAAGAATGAAAACTCTTGTCAAAGTAATTTTGTAATAAAATTTATAAAAAATCTGAGACTAAATAAATGCATTGTTTTGTTTTTATGAGTTTGTTTAATTTATTATCAGCACTGAATGTTCAAAAATAACACAATATTTAATTTTAATCTGATGGAATATGCACTGAAAAAAAATGCTTAGAATATATATTTTTTTAAATTGTGAATTTGTCTGCTCATATATTTAGAATATGAATGTCACAGGAAAAATAGTTGGCTGTTTTATTTTTGGTCACTATAAAGTTTATGAAAATTTGAAAAATGATGAGGAGAAAGTTTTTATCCCTCTCTTTCTAAATGTTTTTGTGGCATGTGTTTGCATTATCGTGTATGTATACATAATCTGTGTACTCTTTGTTTATCCTTCTGATTTATTTTCTTAATGATTTCATTTTTTTCTCCTTTTCCTCGCTCCTTGGTTGACAAATCATTATGTATTATGTATTTCCCACCCTGGATCTTAACTGTTTTGGAAGAATGACCCAGTTAGGTGTTATTAATGTTAGCATGATAACCACAAGGCTGTCTGTGTTACTTCAATCCTTGGATTTTATTTGGCACTTTTCCTTCTTTTGTTTATTTTCTAATCTTCGATTTCATTCATTACTTTAAAAAGAAAAACAAGGAAAAATCATCAAATTTTATCTGTCACTGTTTATTAATAAATGCATTTAAACAATACAATAATGAGTAGATCTCTTTATATTAACTGTAAAATTGATTTATTGTATTGTAACAAACATATATTTCTATGATACTTTCAAAATGCTCAAATGTTTGAAATTAATATCTCGCCTCTTCTATTTAAAGATTTAATCTTAATTTGAAAACTCTTTGGTGCTTAGGAAACCTCAAAATATTCTCAAACTCTAAATATATACTAAAATGCTATTTTAATAAATAGACAAATTTCAATTTGTGTTTTTGAGCTAGAAAAGTAATTACCTGTTTTTGGATGGTTTTTATCTAGTTTCTACAAATGTTTCAATTATAAACTTAATAAATCCATTAGATTTCACGGTCCGATTGACCAAATAAATTCTTTTCAATTAATTAATCTTTAAGTAAGGTCTTGGTTGAAATGAAAAAGGAGTGTCATGAGTGGGATTCAAATCCAGGTCCGAAGGTCGTGGGTTCGAATCCCGCTCGTGACACTAGCTTTTTCATTTCAACCAAGACCTTATATAAAAAGAATAATTAATTGATATAAGCTTAATGTTAATTATTGTTACCTTGAATTATAAATTGAAAAAAAATTGTAAAATTATTATTACTTCCAAAACTTAGCCTTGTAACAATATAAGAATTTCTGTTAAATAATCATTCAAATATATTGACAATGATATTAATTATAAGTTTATTGTGTAGCAACTTTAAATGATGCAAAATCAGGAGATTTTCTCTGTGTATTTTGTTGCTAATCTTTTGGTACGATCGCTAATTTAAATTTACAAATGGATCCCACTGATGGGGTTTGTTAAAAATGTTTTTAATTTTAAAAATGTATTTAATAGCATGTGACCAATACGGTATTTACAGGGGGTAAATACAAAGTTAAGATTTGTCAATACCATGTTAACAATTTCTTGATCCCATTTCCACTTCCTCGAAAACCACCCAATTTGTTTCCCTTTAAAAAAAGGAAATGATCGTTTTTATTTTTTATTATTTTTAGTTAATGTAAAAGATTCAACACTTTCTATTACAGGTCTCAATCATTCAGACAATCTAGTTCAGTACATTCGTCTGTTGCGACTAATGTCGGAGGCAGCATATCTGCTCATCCTTTAATCCCTCTTGGAGACAACAGTATAGGTATGTTGAACATACCTATATGTATGCATGGTGTTGAGCGCATGCTGCATGACAACTACTACATTTCTGTTGTTTTATTTTATTTTTTTAATTTGTATTTTTTTAATTTTTGTTTTTATTATTTTCTCAGTACTTCCTTTGTGAATGTTTTACTCCTCAAAAACCTCATTTCATATTTCTGTAGCCTAGTTTAACCCATTCTTTCACAAACACTTCTTTTTCTTTAAAAAAATCCTACTTATAATTTTGTTTAAATAATAAGAATTTTTATGTTGACATATGAAAATGGTTTTTCTGACATATGATTATGATGGTGATCTGCAATACTATCGTTTTTATCAGTATGTTTAATGTATCCAATTTGGGCTTGTGGATCACCATCAATACATTAGCCAAATGTATTTATGTTTTTATCATTAACAGATTTAATTTTGAAACGATTTAAACAATTTCTCCTTACAGTCAGTGGTGCTACTGTATATCATGTGCTAAAAATTATAAACCTTTTTATTTTCCTTTTAAATCAGCATTAATATCGGGACGTAAAATAAATCCGTAGCATTTTTGGGTTAATTTAGTTAAATTTTCAGGTACTTGTAAAAAACAAAAATTAATCAACAGTAAAATGAACCATTTTGTTCCACTGCTAACACACACTTGTTGCCACCATCTACGTAATTTTATAATAATTTCCTCCGCGTACTTCTCAGGTTTTCAGTAAATTAAATAAACTTTTTTCACTCGACGTTTGACGAACCCATGTATCTCTCTGATAAACATATCCAGCTGCTCTCAGATGCGTTGAAATCTTGTATGAGATCTGTTAAATGTCCCTGCAATATCTTGAGCGGGGGTTATTTGTGACAGATGCTTGAATTTGGCTATCATCAACAGCTGAAGGGCGATCAGAGGCCAAGCAAACCATTCACAGACCGTGCTTTGTTCACAAATGTTATCATCATATTCTTCACAAATTTTCCTAGCAGCTGAATTGCAGTTTTCCTTTTTTGCAGTAATAAAAAAAAGTTAAATGTCAAAAATGCACTATTTTTCTCCTTTATTTTAAACCGGCAAAACAAGTAAACTAATCCGTTTTCAGAACGTGTAAACAATAGTGAATAAATAAACATTGCTTCAAAACAGAAGAGGGATAAAATCAAATTATTGAAAAATGCTACGGACTTGTTTTACAACCCAATACATTCTTCTTCCAAATGGATGAAAACCCCTCTTTCATGTTTTAAATCGTTACTTGACACAATTTTTCACTTCCATGCATTTGTTTCTGGAATCTGTTAAAGAAAAAGAAAAGTAAGTAATAAGGGAAAAAAGGTTTATGTTACATTTCCATGAACTTTTTTTTTTGGCTAACTATCAGCACTGTCTCACAGAGTCTTTTAAGTATTGTACACCTAGCCACATTGCAAGAACGGTAGACAAAAAATATGTCAAAATGATTTTTATGTCGTAATTACAATGTGAAAGGCTGTGTTGTTATTTTGATGACAAAAAGTTTAATTTATTTTCTATTGTATTTATCATTTAAGTGAAACATAATAAATCCCTGTCATTATATTAACCGATAGTGAAAGTTTATTTGTATTAATTAGAATATCATGGATAATTTAAGTAGGCACATACTAGTGACTTCACAAGAAACTATGTACAATTTGTGTGTTTCTTAATCAATAATTAGAGGTCATTTTATAGAAAACTTTAATTGGTTTAGGTATGTTGTGGTTTTTTTTATGACCCATAAAAGTTAGTTACATTAAAACGCTATACAAAAACAGCAGTTTGTTTGTGCAATTGAATTAAATGTCGATTTGTAAAGTATGTCCTGTTTTTCAGGGAACTTTTTGTCCAACAACAGTTCAGGTGTTGGTCAAACCGCAATAGAATAATTTATTGCTTATACATCAAAGATCTACACTGGGCAATGAAAAGACTGCGTATGAAAAATATTAGGCCCTCTAACAGCAGCCATTAATATTTGAAAAAATTGCATTAACATTATACAATATTATTGGAAAATAATTTAATTACAACAGAGAAAAAATTAAAATCTGCCTGTAATTGATGAAAATATTATTTTGGAATGTTTTTGTTTTGTTTCAGTGTCAGTGTCGTGCGGGTCGATGGTCCTTGTGGGGGAGGATTCTCCGAGCCTGACTTATCGTGTGGATCAGATGACTCACAGACATTCCAACCACAGTCGGCTCCTCCCCCAGCCCCCTCATCAGGAGCAGCAGGGCGGCCAGGGTACTACCACCACGGCGGCTACCACCACCTTCATACCCAGCACGAGCACAGGTCTCCGTACTTATAACACAACTTCCTCACAAACGGACATTGTAGATTTAGTAGAAACTTCCTCTACTCAAACCCCGCACTTGCCTAATAACCAGTACATGTGGCAGAGGTCAGCGTCAGCCAAAGAGTTGCGTAAGCCTTGCCTACAGACTTCCCAGGACTCCTTTATCGAACCCATAATCCCCCCTAGATCCCGTAATTTTGCCATTGCAGGTTCTAAAACACCTTCTTTCGATAGAGATGCTGAAACTAAAGTTTATTCGAGTAGTTACCCTGGCACTACAAGCTCTCTTTCAACAGAGAGTGCAGATGAACTTGAACCTGGCGGCTCCATTCTTGTTATAGATACAGGTAGTTCACGAGATGACTTGAGTCATGACTCTTACGAATTGTTAGAACGTGACAGTCGCAACTATTCTCGCAGTTGTTCCATTGGTTCTTCTGGTCCAGAAAATCAGGATGATGAACTGTTTACCATGGATGACTATAGAGATTTTGATGATGTCGACAAGAGATTGGGATATGTTGAGCCTAGATACAGAAATGTTGGATTTAATGAATTTAACGAACTCTGTAAGAGAGGGTTTGCTTCTAAAAGGAGCTCTCAACCAGTTGAATTTAATGAATTTGAAGCCAAATGTATCCCGGGTGCGGTTATTCGTCATGATGTCCCAGAAGAAAGATATCCTGTGGAACGGACTAAAAGCGAACCATACGTTTCTGACTTTTGGAAAGTTGCTCGTGAGCATAGAAAGTTGTTTCATCAGAAAAGCTTTGATTACACTCCTAGTGAAAGTATGGATTCGGATGGAAGTAAGAGTACGGCTGATATTCCTTACACTTTACATAAACGACAACAAATGAATGGAACTTCATCAGGATTTGAGTGTGGTTCACCAGTTTCTCCTAATAAATCTGAAGAGAAACCAGTGAGTTTTGAAAGAAAATCATCTTTGAAATCTGGAGAGAGGTTTGCCAAAACAAAACATGATTCTGATCTCAATTCTCAAGATTCTGGCCTTTCGCTAAGTCTAGGAGCTGAAAGCACTGATGACTTAGAAGAATCAAAAAATACAACTACACTCCCTGAAAAGAAATCTACTTCTACAGGAACTACACTTAAAGTTAAAAAAGATTTGTTAAAAGTCAGTTCTGAAGATGGCCCTCAGCATAAAAGCCTTCTTGCGAAGACTAAGGCTGTAAGTGCAGATTCTGGTTTGAAGAGAGTTTTCAGTTTTGAACGCCCTCCACCTGTTGAAGTTATTAAAATCCCATCACAAGATGGTGAGGGCATTGTTATCTGTAGTTCTGATAGTAAAAATTTCTCATTGGATACGAGTGATCCGGATGTGATCATTGTTGAATACCATACTAAGAGGAAACGAGCATTTCAAAAGCGAAGTTCTTCTGGGTCAGTCGAAAAAGAGAAAAGGGGATCTAGCTTTGAAATCATTAGAGAGGATAAAAACAAAAAGGAACGCCACAAAGAATGGAGAAGCGAATCGAAGTCAAGTTACGATATTCAAGATAAGACTGATTTTAAAAGAGAAAGGTTTAGCAAAGAAGTTAAAACTAGCATTGAAGGAAAAGTTGTTCGCGAATCTTTAGAAGAGAAAGAATTGAAAAAACAAAAGAGTGAAGAGTTATACAGGCAGAAGACTGAAGAACTAAGAAAACAGAGGAGTGAAGATCTACAAAGGCAGACGAGTGAGGAATTACAGAGGCAAAAGAGTGAAGAGATGCAAAAGAAAATTTTAAGGAGACAAGAAGTAATTGAGCAGTTACGACAAAAACACGAAGATCTCAATAAAATAGAAATTATTAAGACAAATAGAGAGAATGAAAAGAAGTCGAAAACAATGCAGAAGCCTAGTGTGCAGAAACAAGATAATGTATTCAAAGAACTTTCGCCAAAATCAATTCAAAAACATGACAAAGTTGTCATGGAAGTCCCGGTGGAAATCAATGCAACAGAAAAGCAACTTGGCTACTGTAGGTGTGAACATAAAGATTCAATTGAAATAGAGAAAATGGAAGATATAAATGAAGAGAAGGATAGTGTTTTTGAAGATGATAGTACAAAGGAAGACACTCCACTCCAAGTAACTGATAATGAAGAAAAACAGATAGATTTGAAAGAACCAGAAGAAGTTAAGGAAGAAAGTAAACCTGAGCCTGATTTGAAGGAAGAAAGCAAACCTGAACCTGATAAGAAGGAAGAAAGTAAACCTGAACCTGAAGTGAAGGAAGAAAGCATACCTGAACTTGATGTTACAGCTAATGTTATTGTTAAAGAAGTTGCCAAAATTTCTCCAAAAAAGGAAATTTCAGAACCAGAAATAGTCACAACAACCAGCACCAAACCATCACAGTTCCAAGAAAATACAGAATCAGATATTAAAAAAAGGACTGTAGTTGAAGAAAAAGCTAAAGCTGTTGTTTCTCCAGAGATGGTTTGGAAAAAGTTTGGTGATCTTCCTCCAATCACAAACAAAAGAGAGCGTTCTCCTGTGTTGTTCGCTAGACTGGGCTTTTCAGAAGGCTCAGCTTTCATACCTGCAAAAGCCCAATCACCTGCAAGCTCCCGAAGAGCAAAATCACTAGATGCTCCAGTTGTATCTCTTCATAGGCTTCCACCTATAACATCTTTCTCAAGTAAGGACGATACTCTTGATAACGAAGAAGGCGTTGAATTAGAGGAGAAAACTTTAAGAACTACGAAACCCATCTCTGTAATAGAAGAAGAAGATGCTGCTAACCTATCTCCTCTTATTCAAGATTCTAACCATTATATGACTACCATTCAAGAGCCTGATTTAACACAAATGCTTCCAGAGATTGCCACCGAAGACCCGGCCAAGGAAGAAAATGCATTATTTGAAACTCTAGAGCCAACACTACTTCAGTCGTACAGTGTGGAGCCCCTTCCTTACACTATGATTTATAACAACCATGAAGGCGAACAAGAACTTCCGGATGTTACTCAGTTTGGACCAGATTATCGAGTCAAAATCTGTTCTCAGCTAAGTGATGAACAAAAAGTTCCAGAATTCCCAGATTTTCAAACCAATGACTATGATGAGGTCTGTGAAGAAGTGCAAGAAGAAGAAGAAGAAGATATTTTTAACAATGATGTGTTTGACAGTAGAACACTGGAATACAGCAGTGAAGCAACTAATATACCTCAGCCTGAACTAGGTAATGATTATAAACAAGCAGCCACAGAGGTGGACGAGTTAGAAGAGGTGTTTGACAGTACAGTAAATGAAGAACCTCAACCAGAAAGAAGGCCAAGCACCAGACAAGAAAGACTAGATTCATTTAAAAATACCAAAAGTTATTCTGTTGATATTTGGACATCAGAAGAAAATGAACCTCCTGGGATTCCGACAGTTGATGTTGAAGATGTAGATTGGTGTGATGATGATACATTTGTTCCAGACCCCATCGATGCCATGATGGAACATCTTTCACCCAAAAAGAAGGAGTTTCCCATAACCACCAATGAAATTAACCCAAATGATATACCAATAGATTTAATACCTGAACTACCGACGATTGACGTTAAAGAAACTCTTGAAGATTCTCAGCACGATAGTAATGCTGATATTGCTTCACTATCTGAATTGTGTGAAAAGATCATTGAACCACCACCCGAACTGAAGTTAATACCTCCGAAGAGAAGTTTTGATGAAGATGTATCTAGTTCTTCCAGTTTCAAACCTGATAAGACAACCTTGAAGCCTTTCTCACTTGAAAGTTCAGGTTCTTCTAGTTTAGAAGAAGGGATCTTCCCTCCTGATGATTGTTCCCATTTTGCGGATGAAGAAGAAGGAAGTAGTAATTCTGCCAAGGATGAATATCAGGGATTTGGCTACTCGGTAGCCGGAGCAGAATTAGTGATAGGAGGCTATACAGGAGGTGTATTTGGTCTTTCGAGGACTTTATCAAGGATATCTGAACGAAGCACAACTTCTGAGCAAGATAGATCAGATTTTGATGACGATTTGTCTACAAAACCTTCTTCTAGATCACTCTCATTGGAAGATGAATCTTTAATGTCATCGGATAGGCAACCATCGCTTTCTTCAGATCCTTCAATTAATCCTGAAGTTGAAGAGCAACCACTGCCACCGCTTCCACCTGAGCCTTTAGGCTTTAAAATTCCACCTCCACTTTTGCAACATGATGAGGAATGGCCTTCTCCTCCAAACTCCTCTTTTGATACACCAATTGTAGGTAGTGTTGAAACTTACTATATGAACATCAGACCCGAGGAGCCCACTAAAGTTATACTTCCTAAAGAGCCATATGACAATGATTACTCTTCAGATTCAGATTATGAAAATAAAACTTTACAGGACGATGATGGACCTGATTCTTCCACAAAAGAGAGTACAGTGAAGTTAGCATTGAAGCACAAAAAGCCTGGAAATTCAAGCGACACATCTTTAGGAATATCTGACTTTTCAAGTAGCACTGGCACAGTGAAACATTGTCAGTATTACTCCTGTACTGTCAAATCTGACGATAGTTCATTGGCTGATTTTGGTTCCTCGTTGTCAACTGAAATGTTGTCTTCTTCTCGAAAAAATTCTGATGATTCGATGTGTTTACGGCGAAGGAGTTTTCACCACATTCAGAGGAGATCTTTTGATGATTATGATTCTCCTTACAGTGAATCGGACGAAAGCTGTCCAAAGCAGACCAAGAGGACCTACTCAAACTTGCCCAGCCCGACAACTCCTTGTGGAAAAAAGTTGAACAAAGAAAGACAATGCGCCAAGTCAAATCAACTTGAAAGGAGAAACGTTTGCTCAAAATCGATTGCTCGTTCCAAATGTTACTCTTACTACTCTCTTGCTCGTAGTCCACCTAGCGATGGCTCATCGTCTTCTTTAGAAATGGGTGAACCGCCATCAACACCTAACACTATACCAAGAGTGTCAAAGAGACGCAGGCATGTTCCTCCTTCTAAACGCCGTCAACGTGTATCTGCTGAGACAGATATTCGGGATGGCCAATTGATTTCTGTATCTAGTCCTTCTGTTGCTTGTGTGAAACGAAACACACGGGACCGGTCTCAAATGTCTAAACAGTCTTCTGTCTAAATTCCAATTATAAAAAAAGAACTGCTCAAAAGAATTTATTTAAAATAAGGGAACCCCATTTAAAAATAGTTATTTTTAAAACTAAAACAAAAAATTAATGATATTACTAAACTTTTATTCAATCAAAAGCTTTGTTACAACTTTTATTTAAAGCTTTTGTAAATAAAGTTTAGTGCCATTTTTAAAATAAAACCACAAAGGCCTGCTGCCACAGCGACCTTTTCAAAGTTTATTTTACTATTATTTATTCTACCAAGTATGATTAGTGCTGTTATATCAAAAAACCTGTTTATTCAATAATAATTATTTGAATGAAAGATAAATGTGCCTCTAATAATATTAAATAATGAATATTTATTAATGTATAAATAAAATGCAATAATTATTGTATTTAAAATAATTTTAAAATGGCTCTAAGTTATAAAATTCATCTTATGTGACATATTTTTATATTTTACTTCATTTACTTTGCTCAAAGTCACAAACGTATGAGTTGATGTGCTAATTCTTTTTCATTATTCTTCAATCATTCGTTCAATTCTGAAAGAGGCTTTAAAAATAAGATTTTTTAACGAGTGCAAAGGATTGAAGATTTTTTCTCTTTAAATTCTTTCTTTCCTTTTATAACACATCAGTGGGTAGGGGGGGTAGGGTTTTTAAACATTTGTGCAGTATTACTGGTGGTGCGTACATCAATCAAAAAAAAAAAAACATACAAAGATGTAACTTTGTAAAATACTCTTATCATTTTTGTAATGGTACAATGAGTGCCAGTATCGTTTAATTCGAGACTGAGTTGAACTATGTTTAGTAAATAAGAAGTGGAGGGCATGCAAAGAATGATCTATTCAATTGCACTTAAAATTAATGTGGGTTTACATCTTTTATTTTCTAATGCTTATATTATACTATTTCATTCGTAAAATATTAATTAATTTTAATGCTCAATAGCGAATAGGATTTATTATATTCATATTTATTTCATAAATGTTGAGCAATATAAATATGTAAATTGTATATCTACATTACATTATATCTTTATCTATTTAATAGTTAGGAGAAAAGTTTTGAGATTTGTTTAAAACATAATTTACTGTTTAAATATATTTGGATTAGATTTTTTACACTTATTAGTAAGATAAAGTATTATTTGATTGTTAACTTTGATTTTAGAAGATGGTTGTTTTGATATAAAAAAGTATTTATTAGTTATTACAAAAAAGATTATATCTTTAAGAAGGAAAAAATTGTTATTAATTACTTCATTTTGTATCATATGAAAAACAGGGCTCGAAAGTATTGACTAAAAATTTGGTATGTTACCTAATTATGTGCCAGCATCTGGTCTTGCAGTTGCAGTCCTTTTGACCTCGAACAACGGCCAGTAACGAAATTATTTTTCAAAGAAAAAGTATAATAGTGGGTACAAACACAATAGTTTAAATTTAGTGACAAATTGCACACAAAAAATAGTAAGTTACTTTTGAAATGCGATTTTCTGGTTCAGACTTTAACGGAAGGAAATGTATTAGTTTATATTAACTGTTAACAAGGATTGCGATTATCTTCACATGTTTAGAAGTGTAACAGTTCTGCAGGTGAGAATTTCAAGCCAGTTGACTGGAAAAACTTATTCACCCTAGTTTTCTATTTTTTATTTGATTTATTTTTTTGTCTTCCTTCCGGGGGGTTCGCAAAAGCGGAGTTCATATTAACCTGGGTTTTCGTGTTTTTGCAAGAAAAAAAAGCCCATTTGGAAGTACCTTGTGTTTAAATTTCGTTTGTTTTTTGATAATGTGCATCATAGAAAAAAAAATCATTAAACAAATTGAAACTACTTAAGACATCTCACATATCAGCACCAATTCTCAGCAGATTTTTTTTTTTCAAACTATTTATTAGTATTATTCGGGTGTGTACATTATGCTGTGTCTTTTTAAGAGTTGTTTTATCCTTTTTTAACTAATAATATTCAATATTAAACAACATATTACAAATTAAGATGTGAAAGTGTTGACAGAAATTGAGTATTAATATAGTGTATGTATTTGTATTGAACTGACCCTCGGTTACTTATTGGGTCGGTCTTTACTTGCGGGTTTGTTGAACTCGGATGCATTTCTGCATTGTGCCATCTTCAGTGAGGAAGTCAACAAACCCAGTGGCTCAACCTGAGTTCACCGATTCGAAAACCACACCCAGCATCAACTTTATAGTCCATGTATGTTCCAAAGTTTAGTCTTCCAATCTTATTTATATGAAGACAATATTAACGCTTAATATTAAAACTGAAGTTTAAAGTTTTTAAAAATCATAGGGTGAAACTATTATTATAAACTATTCACAGTATTTTCAAACTAACTCCTCTCAACTGCAGAACTGCTTACACATTATTATCGTATCACATTTCGCTATTTCAATTGTACTAAAAGCCTTCTTCAGTATTAATCTTTTATTTTAAATGTGTGCTGTGCCAATACTATCTCATGCCTGGGTATAACGATTTGAAACGTAAACTATTAGGTTAATAAACAGCATCTGCAGAGGGTGAAGAAACGTCAATACAATTATATTAAACTATATAAAATTTAATTAAGAGAAACTAATACAACTCGTAATATAATAACTTGTCTTTCATTGCCTAACTCTTTATTAAGAAAGATTTTAACAAATATGTTGGTTTCTTTATTCCTTTGTAATTAATTATTACAATTATTAAGATAAAATTGTTTATTCAGATGGTGTTGATTTGTAAGCAAACAAAAAAATATTGAAAAAAAAAATTATAACAAACAAGAAATATGACAAAAAAATAAAGTTATTAATAAAAATCAGAGGTGTAAAATTTAATGGTTATTGTTTAGTTCAGCATTATTTTTTTTCTCACTTTGAACCTAAATTGCTTCAGAGGATCTCTGTGAGTATAGATCATTACATTTTATGTAGTCTTGTAGGCTTAGAAAATTTTCTTTTTTTAAATTTTTATAAATTAAAGTCCATTATTTAGAAATATATGCATGTCCAATGAATATACAGACTGTCTTAAAAATATAAACTAAAGCCTTGAATGACATACTGGTAGAATAATACAATTAAGAAATTTATTTTGAATTAATAACACTTTTTCTTCTTTCTTAGCATTCAAATGGATTTGGAGTTTAAGTTAACGTAAGAACTTTAAAACCCAACTGCCTTATCCTCTTTAATCACACTTTGAAATAAAGCACAATTATTTTTTCTGGCATAAATAGAAAAAACCCTTACGTACTAGTCAAAAAGCCTACTGCCAAAAAGAAGATAGTCAAATTTATACTTTCTTGTTACAGTTGTATTGGAAAAATCATCATCACCAGAGCTTGAGGACGTTACAAGGCGTAACAACAACAATGTACAAGAAAACGTTTATACATCGACTCCGAAAATGAACGGAGGGCCTAATGGCCATTTTGGGTGAGCAAGCAAATTATTAATTGGTTCTTAGTTTTTACGATTTTAAACCAACTTATTTATTTTAGAGAGCTGGCATCGCCCGAATTGAGTCCTATGAAGTTTAAGGAAGATCGTTCAAAAGAAGGGCTTGATACAATAGATGGTGAAATGAAGAAAAAGGTACACTTTTCCTCCTCCTTGTTTACCATTTAAATATTAATTATTATCAAAGAAATCTTTTTTTATTTATTTTATATCTAAAGGAAGGCATTGTATTAAGATGATTCTATTAAAATATTTTCTTTCTTCATCTTCCTTAATTTACTAATTATTTTACAGAGATATTCCCTCGACAAGGGCCATTTTATTGGAAAAGAAATTCTTATGACAGAGAGAACTTACAGGAAAGATTTAGAAGTTATAAACTTGGTATTTAGACTACTGTTATTTTAAGAATAAATATTTAACACCCATTTGTACCATATTTTTTGTCATCTTTTAGTGGTTAAGAGATGAATTTTCCAAATATGATGATAAAAGTTCCATCACACATTTGCTGAATATAATTGATCCGTTGCACGATGCCCATTGTCATCTTTTGAAAGAAATTGAAGTCAGTATGGCGGCAACTGAAAGGGGAACGACTCACCATCGAGTTACTGATATAATTTTAAAAACACTGGAATACCTTCCGGTAGATAAAAAAAAATATTATAAGATTTAAAAAAAATTAAAAATCTTAATAAAAACGACTTTTCAGCTTTATGAAGAGTACATACAGGAGCACCAGAATGTTCTTAAAGGGCTTAGTCAGGATCTGACCAGAGAGGACTTTGAGCGTGTTTACACTGACTTTGAGAAAAATAAAATGTGCTATCTTCCACTTACACTTTTTATTCTTAAACCAATTCAGAGATTGATTCATTATGCGCAATTGACTGATCGTAAGTTAAACCAGACGTATTGTTCTTAATAATCTCGATGGTTCTTTTATTTATTTTGTTTTTCCAATTTAAGGACTTCTTAAATTTTTTGGACCTGACCATAGCGACTATGCCGACTGCGAAATAGCAAGGAATAAATTTTCCGAGTTAGCTGTTGTTGCAAATAAAGCTCTTCAAGAATCCGTAATTAATTAATTATTTTTTCATATGTGAACATTGGTTATAAACAATTTTGTTATTTTTAGGAGAATTACGTACAGCTTGTGGAATTGGGCAGAGATGTAACAGGTTTTGAAGGTGTTCTAACAGAAGGCGACCGTAAATTCATTCGACATGGGCGTTTAGGAAAATTTTCACAAAGACGGGGGACGCAGCAAAGGATGTTTGTTTTAGTAAGTAATGAACGATTGACATTTCTCGTACAATGTTTAATTCGATTGATCTCTCAGCTTTCAGACATGCTTGTGTACAGCAAACGTTATGGCCAAAATTTCAAAGTCCATGGACAAATGTCCTTAAAAGCCCTTAGAATTGAAGATAGGGTTGACAATCCTACTCCGAATTCTTTTATTATATTTTCAGGAGATAGGTAAAATGTTAAAATAATAAAATAATCTTTCGTAAAATTTAACGGCAATTTTTTTTCCAGACCGATAACAGTTTCAGCTGAAAGTCAAGAGGAGAAAGACAAATGGTTAGAGGATCTTTCCCAAGCAATTGATGTAGCAAGAAGCGACAAGAACCCTTCCTCACCAATTTTCACTTTAAAATGCTCAAGTATGACTATTTAATTTTTATAATTTGAATATATTTTAATTTTGATTTTTATAGATTCCTCAGATGATTTAAATGACAAGCAAGAAGATGATAAAAGCGCTGTTACACCACAAAGAAGTAACACAACAATTCATGTCTGTTGGCACCGATATACTAGCATCAGCCTCAATGATCTTGTCAGAGCTGCTCAGGTAATTTTTTATTTCTAACAAATATAAATTCCTTAATTAACTCGGCTTTCTTTTGTTTTAGAACCAGCTCAGTGGTTATTTATTAAGAAAATTCAAGAACAGTAATGGTTGGCAGAAGCTTTGGGTTGTCTTTACAAACTTTTGCTTGTTTTTTTATAAAACATTCCAGGTGAGTTGATTAAAATTGACTGCATTTAGAGCAAATTATTGATTCGATGTGATTTTAAATAATAGGATGAAGCGCCATTGGCTAGTCTGCCTCTATTAGGCTATTGCGTGACAACGCCTTCTGAAAAAGATCAGATACAGAAGGATTTTGTTTTCAAACTGCAGTTCAAGAATCATGTATATTTCTTCAGAGCAGAAAGTGAATACACATTTGGAAGGTATGTTGTATTTTCCAAAGAACTATTTTCTTCTTATATCAGGAGTTTTATCATTCGTCTTTTCCTGCAGGTGGATGGAAGTAATTGGAAGTGCAACACAACATTCCGGGAGGCTAAGACTTTTCAGTAGAAAAGAAAGTACGTTGGAGCATAAAATTGGCCAAGAGCCTTTGTATTCATATCAGAGACTTTAAATGCTTTGCTCACTTTATTTTTGGGTTTTGTAACCACTTTATAGATTAACCAGTTATTGACAATTTTTTTTTTTTTTTCAAATCTGTAAATAATTTGGACAGATGATTTGTATATAATGAATACGGTATAATTGAGATGAGAATTGACTTATTTTTCTATAATACTAGTTATGTGCATTATTATTTTTGTTAGGCTAACAAACTTTTAAAATTTGGAAGTACATATTTTGCATTAATCATTTATGATTTAATGCAATAGTTCATTCATTTTGTTATTCATTAATTTTTATAAAGTGAAAACCAAAGAAACCCCACAGAGAATCTCTGTCGCCAAATACATTTTGAACGCCAATAAATTAAGATCAATTATGAAATTAATATTTTACAATCGAGTGATAAATTTTTTTTCTTGCCAGAAATTTGTGTATGTACCTTTTGTACTCATTTTGTAAACTAAAAATTACCTCAATCAGCTATAAACTCAACGACACATTTAATAACATGTTATGGCTGTAAAATGTTATATGTAATTATCGATATATTGGGTCATTATGTTAGTAAAGGGAGAGGGTGCACGGTTGTTAAATTAGAATGTTATATTGAAATTTCTTATTCTGATTTTATTATTTTAACATTTAAATGTCATAAATGCTAATGAGGTTAAATATGACAAAATGAAATCTCCCTTTATGTCAATTGTAGTTTATTAACATTGTTTTGTTTATTGTTATATCCTTTAGTATTACTTGGCTATTCAAATATAATCATTGTTTGACAGTATATGCAATTTTTATTATCTTTATATTTTTTCCACCCTTGATATAAATTCTGTCATTAAATTTAATTATTTGATTGTAAAGTGGTACTCGTGTGCGACAGGATAGTTGAAGAAAAAATTTTTTACTGGGTTTACTTTTACATACAAGGAAAAATTATATTAAAATTAAAAAGTTAAGAAGAAGGTGATTCAGCTTGCATACTTTCTTATTCCTAATTCTTATTATATAAAATAATAATAATAGTGCATTATGTGGTAATAATTCAAATATAATGTTAACTGTGCACTATAAGCATGCCACTGTTGATCTACTCAATTTTGGAACTTCCCCTCAAAAATGAGAAAAGTGGTAATTTTAATGTTAGAGGCCAGAAAACAAACATTTTTTCAAGGTGTACCTTTAATGTGTTGGGGACAGTGGCAGAAGTCATCTAGTGTGGATGGATTCTTAGATCAGGAGCTGAGGCAGTGAAGCGGCTGACTGGTGGGGTAGACAGGAGCAGGCAAGGTAAGCGAGAGGAGAGAGACAGAGAAGGCAGAAAAAAAAGGAAACAAGGGACAGCTTTTTTGCTCTGTGGAAAAGAGTTGTTCCTCATCCTGGAATATTGATCTATGTCCGAGTAGGAGATAGGAGGATGGACATAGAGACGAGGCTCCCTGGCAAGATACAATTGGTGGTAACTGTTTTTCCCCCCTGTAATAAAGTTTTTTTTTAAAATTAAATAAAAAATATGTTTTGCTTAAATTTATATTGTTTCATTTTGTTTGTTTTGTAATTCCGACTCCTGACATTTTTAAATCATGTTGTTAGAGTTAAATAAGGTCAGACTTGTAACAAAGTGTCCTGTGAATCACGGGAACTGACTTTAATTTTAGGCTAAAAGGTTTGGAATTTTTAGTAGGGTTCATTTCTCCATACTGATTTAACAAAAAACAATGTTTTATTTTTATTTTGACCTATTTTCTTTTGACTCTGCTTCTCCAAATCATTTCCCCCCGAAAAAATGGTAGTGTGGTGCCTAATTAACGTGTTAGTTTACCAGAATTTCCCCGTTAACCACTGATCATTAGCGCAGAATTGTTTTCCAGAAAGGCAAAACATGTTTTGGAAAACTGATCTGTTGTAAGTCAATGAATCCGTCAGTAAAACAATAGTGGAAAAAATGGAGAAAATGGAAGAACAGGTAATTCTGTTACCCTTTCTAAAAACTCCCACCTTAGATTTGGTGAAATTGACAGATTGATTCCATTTTTCACAATCATCTAATATTTTTATATTCCTTTAATGTTAATAATTATTATTTCAATTAATTATTTTTTTATGTAAGGATTGGTTGAGATGAAAAAGTTAGTAGTACGAGTGGGATCCGATTATTAATAATACTGCTTTAACTTTAATGTTGCCACCATGAACACCCCTCAAATTCAGAGGAAAGGTCTTCAATGAAGAGGGAGAAAAGGATAGGACTTACATACTTAAATACATCACTGCCTAACCCCACAATTATCAGGGGGAAAATCTTAAATTCTCTCTTTAACCCTAACAGTGGATTCTGAATAAACATTTTAGGAAGTTAATTACTTCAACACTCCCAAATTGAACAATTTATAAATTAGAGCATTTCGATCCACACTGCCAAACATAGCAAAAAGTACAGCTGATGGCGACAGTGCAAAAATTTTTTGATAGTTCATGTAGCGCAGACTGAAAGAAAGAGATCCCAGTTAATGCCGACTATATCTGGTTTACAGATGGTGCCAAAACTGCACTTGGGCCAGGAGCTGGCATTTATGGAAATAAGGCAATATGCTCCATTGTTCAAGCGGAAACTGTGTTTATTGAACACTGCGCCAGGGAGATAAAAAGGCTTGGGATTATCAATAGAAGAATAGTCATATTGTCATAACTTGGACAGCCAGGCGGCACTGAAGGAATTGCATCGGCAGTATAATCCAGTCGTTTGGGACTGGATTAAAGCCCTGTCAGTCATCAAGGAAAAATAACAAAATTACCCTTGTCTAGGTGTCAGGGAACACAGGGCAGAGTGGCAGTGAAGAGGCTGATAAATTGGCCAAGGAAAGTTCAATGAGGACTGGCTGAGATTGGCCTCGAACCCTTGTGTCTTACCAAACTGTCAAAAACGTAGATCCATTAGACCAGGGGTCGGCAACCTGCGGCCCTTTGCAACTTTTTGCGCGGCCCGCCAAAGCCCAATATAATTTTAGGAAAAATCAACAAACTTAGAGCGTGAGCGTGCCGAAATGTGGCCGGTGACAAAAATGCGCGCTAACAGAAGCATAGTGGGAAACCTATTTTACTACGCAAGTTTAATCCCCACTCCCTATAATAATATTTATACTCGTATATGATATAAAAGCACTATTTAAGTTACATTTGAATGTGTGGCCCGCATAAAAAATTTTATTTGGAAAATGGCCCTCCGTCCGAAAAAGGTTGCCAACCCCTGCATTAGACAATGGATTAATAATTAGTCCTCCACTCAATGGGAATGTAGCCTAGGACAGAAGCATGCAAAAATGTTTATCACAGGACCATCACAGAAACTAACAGCAGAACTACTAAATCTAGGATGTGCTAGTACTAGAATAATAGTTGGACTGCTAACTGGACACTGCAGACTTTAGAGGCATATGTGTAGGACTAAGAATGGCAGAAACAAGCCTGTTCAGATATTGCCAAGAATAAGAAAAAACATGCCCTCTGTTGGTGCAGAAGACCTATGTAACCTGAGATTTCTAATCCTGGGAGAGGAAAAGCCAGGGCATAAAGGATATGCAAAAAGCTTTGGGGTCTGGTAAAAAGCCTCAATCTTAATGAGGAACTCTAGATTAAAAAATGGAGATGCACCATAGACCAAAACTGGTTGCAGTGCACAGGTCATAAAGAGGCAAGCCCCTGTATAATCTAATCTATAATCTAATTGTCAACCCAAGAACCACCTTCAAGTAAAGAGGAAGGCCATCAATGAAAAAGGTTTAGTGACCACGATTTTGGTATTATGGGTAGAGCCGATGGTCAAAGTCCATGGACTGATGTTGATGAGCCGTATGTTGATGAAATGTTAGTTGGTAGTGAATGAAGGGACTCGTGCAGCAGGCAGTCATGTTGCCTGTTGAGAGTATAAGAGATGATGCTGTGAGCATATTCATTGCTGCAGCTACTACTGATGTATTGCTCCATAGTGAGGTTGAGACCTTGTTGAACCTTGTTGAAGCAGTGGTAACACCACGTGGATAACTTATTAACCACAGGTGGTCACCACAAAGGAGAAAAGGATAAGACTTAAAATACATCCCTGCTTAACCGACTTTACCATTATCCTCCACTCTGTGAGGAGGAGAGTCAGTTTTCAATTGTCCGGTGTAAATACAGACTTAATCTATAATATTTAAATATAAAATAATTTAAAATCTTATGCCATTATAGGTGTAAAGGTCACAACATATCCTTTTCATCTTAAAACCCTCATTGATTAATTCTGGCATTGATATTTTTTTTAAATACAGATGAAAATTTATTTGTAACAGTACATTAAACAATTTAAACTTTGAAAATGATAATCATATTTATAAAAACAACAATGCACATAGACAGATACATATATACATACAAACATATTTAGCTAAATAAGACTAATATTATATATTCTAGGCGGTCAATCTTAGTTATCACTAGATATTTATTTTCACACTTGGCGTATATTCATTTTTGCTCACGAATGAAACAACAGTTGAATATTTGTTTAAATATTCTAAGTTAATATTTATTTAGGGGATAGCATTATAACAATAATATAACAAATATGTAAATTTTAACTAATAGAAGATTGACTCTTGAGCAAAACTAAATTCTCTGTCCATTAGTTAATTTTTTTTTAAACAATATTTTGTAATCACAGCCTATGACAGTAGGTTATCAAATAATTTAAACAATATTCATCCATTAGTTTTCCACTAATGAACTATTATTAACATTAATCAAGTCTTTAGACAGAGGTGGTGTGATTGAAATGCTGTAATGAAGTTTTTTGTTCCTCAAGAAGCTGTAGCTGTTGTCGAATACGACCACATCTGGAAAAATAAAATCATAATATTGTATAAAATATAATATTGTTTATAAAGGACAATGTAAAGTTACATGTGCCAAGCACTTGACATTGAAAGAACCCTTCTTCTTCCGTCTGATGTGACGTGACCCTGTGTGGCGGGATTTCGACCACTTCTTCACCACTCGTGTTGTCCCTTCTCAGTATGCCGAATTTGATGTCATGACCATCCGAATAAAAGGCCCATCTGAAAAGATGATGGACGTGACTTGAAATAAGCAGTGCCAGTGAAATTGACATTACCTGATGAAAGATCCCATCTCCTTGACTTCATAATTGAGAAACAGTTTGTCTCGTTTTTTAACTGTGGTCACTATGTATTCTTCATTTTTATCCTCGTGGACTTTATTACGCAGATAATAGGATTTTGGAATTTTTCCTCCAGGATGTATCTGGGAACAAATAGATTTTAAAGAAGCCATATACAATTATTTTGTAATTTAAGTTTTAAATAATGATAGTATGAAGTTGGCCTAGCAAAAAAAAAGTAAATATAGTTTTTTTAGAGCCAGTTACATTATATATAAAAAAGGGCCAGGGGCAATGGTGGGAACCCACAATCATAGGGACTACGAGCAGAGAGTCTATCACACTAACCAATTGGCTACCATGGTCCCCAGAGTACATATTATACATACTATATTAATTACATACTTAGGATAGTCTACATTTCTGACTCTCTAATCTGATTATCAGAAACAATTATCAGACCTGGGTTTTTCAGATTTAAAAAAGTCATCTGATATTATTTTCAGTTGGGAAGTGTGAGGTCATCCACCTTTGACTTTTACTGTGAACTGATTGTGAGCAGAATGGTAAAATATGGTGAAGAATTAATAACAACCATCCATGTGATCAAGGGTGTCGAGTGCCCTTCATTTTATACTAAGAAATTTTATTTGCTGTTTTCCACACTCTCCAATGGATATGGATAGAGTATTGATCAGTCATTCAATGAGCATGCAGGAAAGGCAGCATTGCTTTTCTACTTTAGCATTTGAAATTTTTTTTAACAGTTTGGCAAATATCTAAATGGAGGTGTAAATGAAAACCATGAGATGAACTATAAAAAAGTTCACAATTCTCCACTCCCAAGAGCTAAACTTGATCAGGGGTTTTGTTTTTTACCCCAGACACTGGCCCACCTCAGGAGACACTCCCTAAGCAGACCATTTGAGAAATCAGACTTAAAAGTATCTAGGTTTTTTTAAATACCCTTGAAGGACATGCTGGATCTCCGTCAGGATCGCACTGAGTTCCACCGTAGATCTGTGGCAGTTGATCTGGGTCCACATTGCTGAGTATGGCCGCTTTCCATTTATTCTTGTCAGTTTTATAAATGTTGATTTTGCTTAGTGTGTAATCATTCAGGAAAGCCTTGACGACGGAAAATCCAAGGAAAAACATACTTGGCACTGAAAATTGAAGTAAAATATAAATAAATAAAAACTTATAAATTGTTCTGCCCCATTTTAGAGAGCATATATGGGATAAATGGGTCATAAACATTCTTGAGTAATGTTACAAGGTAAGTTCACACTATTGTTCAACTTGTAGTCCCTATTGTTTTCCACATTCTGGGTTCTCTATTCTTGTTATACAAGGATAAGTAAAAATAATAATAGCAGATCAGGATACATTTCATTATAATTTCAACAATGTTTGCATAATTGCAATGACTTAAATTATACTAATTATTTTATGTGAAGAATTTATTTAAACTATCAACTTTGCTAATGAATATTTTGAAAATATAGTGAAACTGTTCATTTAATATATTACAAAATCAGGTAGACAATATAAAAAATATGTTTTGTTAACTACTAGCATAAAATAAAATACCATTGATGATGTAACATGCTTTCAAGATTTCTGGATAATTTGCCTCATACAATTGAATAAGGGTGATGACTGCTTCTGCCGCTGAAAGATTAACATGGATAAATGCAGATTTGATTCTTTTTAGATTAATTCTCTTGATTAAAATTGTAATTACCTGGCCTCCATGCATATTGTTTAATATTAAATCCTGTTAAATCCAGGATGGCTACTATTTTGCTTGCTTCTATGCCATGCTTTGACATCTGTTCTCTTGCCAACTGCAAGTGGCTTTCGAGGGTCCTTCCAAGAGATAAGATTTATAAATTATAATGGTATGCTTTATTATTCTGTACTTACTTTAATGCCATCTTGATGAAGTCAGTTTTGGAGACGGACAGGAGTATCCCTTGGATGTCGATTCCGGCAAAGGGCAAGATGAAAATTGGAGCACCATCCTTATCAAACCCTGATATACCACTTGGATAATAATATCTGAAGATTTCAGGCGTGGGCCAGTCTTGAATAGTATCTGCCCCCCAATCTTTCCTCCATTTCAATGACTAAAAAATTTTTTGTGAGAAATCAGTAGAGGAAGGAGTAGAAAATACAAAATAAAACTCACATTCCTAAGCATTTTCTCAGCAGCGACAGGGTCAAAATTTCGGGCTACAATGTTAAAATGGAAATAATTCAATTAATAATTAACAAAAAACAAATTGAATCAATCTTACCTCTCAGCCATCTAAGAATGAAATGATCATCATGATAAGGCAACGTCAGACAATCAGCTACATTTCGCCTCATCTGGAGTAATAATTATCTTGTTACAGAAGTAATTTAAATTAAAAAAGGAATTTATGAACTTTGTCAAGTAAATCACTTAAAAATGGACAGAACAAGCATTTAACATTTAATTGTTAGCATTTATAACCACTGGATATGTAAAAAAGCTGATGCATCTGACCGACAAAAACAGTGAGGATAGGAAATTAATTAAAATACAACTATAATTTTGTGAATCCTTAAAATTAATCAAAATGTCAAATGATTATTGAGTTCTGGCTTTTTCAGTCAACATAAATTGAACTAGCAATTTGATCCTACTCGATCAACTTGTTCTGCATATCCTCTTGTATGTTTCAGCAGTCTGTCCCATTACGCAGGCACACTGAAGTTGGCCAATTTCTGAAACACACCTGACATACCAACCTAGTGTGGATAAGCAGACAAAGATGATTGACAAGGATCAAATTGGAGGTTTATCACCCCAGAGACCACACATGGAAAGTTCACAATACTTTGAACTATTCAATATTATTTCCAGTCACCCAAATCCAGCATTTTGCCATTTTTAGGTGTTGCCCAAGGATGGAACCTAGGTGAAGCCATTCCTTTCAGTTATGAATATTCCTCACTTAAATTAGTGAAATGGTGACACAAACACATCTGGCCGTCAAAACAATGATCTGAGACGATACAGGTTCTCATCAATAAATATTTCACAATATTCTAGTTATATGAATTATAAATAAATTTTTATTAAATACTCTTAAACCATACTATTTTTTGAAAAAGCTTTTCACATCGGTCACTTCTTTTGTGATCTGACAATTGTATGAATAAGTTAAAATGTTATATGTGTTCAAGCATGAAATGTATTAAGCTTTAATATCATTGAATTTTCATTTAACATTAAGAAATTGTTAAAAAATATATAAACTTATAAAAATTGATTGGAGAGAAAGAAAAATACTCAATTCTTGTCAAGCTTTTGAGGAATTTATTCTTTTTCTTTCTTTCAAATTCGCCTTAAACCCGGTTTTTTATGTATCTTTATGCATTTTTTATGTAATGTAACACTATTAAGGATATGAATCACATAAAGATAATGTATTCGCACTATACAACATTTCTTGGGGACTTTTTTTTCTAAGTTCTACTTTCATTTCCAGGCTAGGGTTGTGCAACAGAAAGGATTGGCAAAGATCATCATAGTTGAGAAAATACAGCTTAAATGACCAGGGCTTTAATTTTTGATGTCACCGTTTAAAGATAGCAGAAAAGATATTGAATATCATCAAACAACGCATCATCAGAACCTAATTGATTTAATCTATTAATCATTAAAAAAAATTAATTTGGACTAAAAACATTGTATTGAGTAATTTAACAATTATATAAAGTATAAATAAAAAAGAATATACATGTATAAAAAGTTATAATATAATTGCTGATTAATTAATTAAAACTATTCATTAAAACAATAATTTCAAGTAAAAACATTGTATTGAATAATTTAACCATTATATGAAATATAAATAAAAATAATAGACAAATATAAAAATTTATAATATAAATGTTATTTGTTCAAGATAATATTAGTTAATACAATTTTTTTAAATTAGGCCACGATGTAATATATTCCAAAAGCTTGACAAGGAAAAACGATCTTTGCGAGGCTTGGTCACCTAAACTGGATCTTTTTTACTCCTGTCTTAATCGTAGGTTGATCTGCTATTATTTTCTTTAGGAGTTGGTGAAAGCGACGATCGATAAAACGAGGCTAAATACCCATTTTTTTATTTAAAGGAATCGCTTTAAAAAATATAAAATAAGTGCAAGATTTTATACATAAGTTGAAATGTCAGTAAAAAAAGGAAATCCTTGATCGACTTGTTTGCCTTGAATGACCAGAGTGCATACAGTCAAATTCAAAACGTTCGCGTTTTTAAGAAGAAAAGATTTGTATTTTAATTTCAATGGAATGGTCGATATTGGAAAGTTTTTTAGTGTTTTAGTGTTTAAGTAGTCAAGTGAAACTTTTGAAAAGTAAAGAGTGATAGAGAGCAATAAAAAAAGTCTTTTTTTTATTAATTGTAATCAATTTTCATCCTTATAAGTTGCAGTTTATTTTTGTGCTTTGAGAACCAACAGAATGGAGAAACAGCTTGAGTCCGGTGAATCTAACGTGGAAATCGACCGATCACGAATAAATGGCCCTTCCAACTTCCTGAGGTGAAAATATTGGCGAGTGAAAGCTCTTTACAGACAATGAGCCGTATCAAAAACTGAGTCACCGTTTTTCTCCCCTTCGTGTTAAAAATATGCACTAATAATTTTAATGTTTTTTGTTTCAAACGATACAACTTTCGACGATGAAAATCAGGACATCTGTCTTTTCCTTCCTCCCCCCCCGAAGATCGCAACTAAACCTGCACCGCTCAGATAAACCTAATTAATTTGCCATTATAATTTACAATTAGATCATAAGAGACTTTCTTAATAACGGATGCGGAAAAGATCAGCTGGGCTTACACTCGCGAATCAGAGTGTGAAGCTTATGCCAAAACGTAACTGGCTCAGAAATTACTTCTGTAGCATTGTTAAATGTTACAAACATCTTCTGGGATAATCCTTAATTAAACTGAAGAAGTAGATCGATAAATAAAATAACGAGAATATTTCAGACTCCATGTAAAATACAAGATGGTAATTTTCGTCAATTAAATTTCTTTTGTTTTCAACTGCCAGACAATATAGCAGATTAATTTTTTTTACATAATAATTTAAAAACAAAACGCCAACTATTTTGATTCCGAATCCTCTATGAAATTTGAACAATCATTAGCACAGTTGTGATTGGATGAGGAAAGGAATCCAGTTCATCGGTAAACGGCACGTCCACTTTGTCCTAAAAGGAAGAACAGTTTATTGACATTCCGTAGGACCCAGTCCCCTGACACCGTGATACATGAATCAAGCAGGACTGGGCGAGCCTTTAAATCCCTTGAATCACATAGACAGCACGGGAGAAAATGGAGAAAATGTTATTCCGCTCACACTGAGTCCTAGGACATTTCTAAGGTCGAATTTACAAAATTTGTTTTAAAAAAATGTGTATCTTAACTTTGTACTCATAATATTTTCTATCTCTGGCAAAAAGATCAGGAGAGAGTGAAAATCAATAGCCAAAATACATATTTAAAAATAAATTAGACAAAATAAATTATTTTGCCATTTCAAAACACATTCTTTAAGGATCTCATACACGGTCTCAAATCCGCAAGTCTTCACAGTCTTCGACGTTGCAATAAACATTTCACGGTATGTCGGTTTTCGGCAGAACTTTCACCAATTATTCAGGAAGCCGATAGACATGAGTTCAGTTTCCCAACGTCAAACAGGATTTAACGCAATCTGGGATCAAAACTATCTATCGAACAAAAGTGTGATTTAAGTTTTTAACTGGGTTGTTCAATTAAACAAAAAATATCACAGACTAATTAAATATTATAACGGCAAAAGAAACACATAGAAAATAGAATAATGAAGGCGTTTATAGTATAAGAAGTACAATAATAATCAAGTAAAAACCACACAAACAAGCACACACACATACACACCACACACAAGATAATAAGATCTCTAAATAAATTTAACTACCAAGGAAAACCTGGTTTCTTTTAAGCTAAATATTCTTCATTGGAAAAGCATTGTCTATCTCACCGTGGACTAATCATTATAAATACTAATACATCTACTACTACTACTACTTTTTTTTTAATCGTCTCATTCAACATTAATATATAATATTTTGTTTTTTTGGTACCTTTTTTCAACATTAAATTGAAGGCCCCATTAACTTCTGTTTTCTTCCTGATTTTAAATTATAGTTTCCCTTAGTTGCACGATTTTCGGAGTACGGCTTTAACAGGCGGGGTTAATAATGGTTCATTTGGCCCCTCGATTGGTCCTGAACTTTACATGAAATCCAATTGTAATCTGGTGATATTCTAACAAAAAGATCGATATATCGCCTCTTTGAAAGGTAAATTCACAAAAACAGAAATTTATTTTTAATTCCTGTCTGTTTTAGCTAAATGGGATGGACAATCCCACAAAAATTTCCCTTCACGAATCAATTGATATATGTACTATAAAAAACGTTTTTGTTATAAGAAAAACCAACGCTGATTGTAAATTTTTGGTTAGGAAGGATTCGAGAACAAATTGGATTTGAAGGTTCATATGGATTGTAAGGTTGAATAGGAAGTGTGGATCTTGGACAATAGTTCGAATGAAATTGGACCGGAGAGACTGGATTCTTTAAACTTAGAACCTCATTTCCGTAAGTCCAGATTGATTATTGTCTTCTTGAGTAGTTCGTCTGTTTAGTTTTTTTGAGTCGAGTGTGTGAGTTCGAAGGAAAACTTTTGCCGAAGTAAAGATCCAAATAGCTGACGTGGAAAGGGACAGTCTTGCAGTAGGTTGATAGGTTGAGGTGATAAGAAGAAGGCTGCCTTACGGAACACCCGCGTCGACAAAGCGACTTTGTAAATTAAAATGTTGTCGGACAGTTATGATTTTAGGATGAAGTGACGAGTGAACGGATGCCATTGACCTTCCAGAGCAAGCCCGGGCGACATACTTGATCGAAGGCTTGCTTAACATCAAGCACCCGAGCAGCCTCCTTCAAGCGAGGATGCAATAAAGTCTACCATCCTGTGGATTGATGGGATGGAACGACACTGGAAATTTCAAACATGGGTGTTTCAGGAGTTTTTCAGATATTTTGCCAAGTAATGGCAGCAAACTGATGGTAAGATAGGGGGATGTTAAGAATGTTTTGAGGTTTTGGAATGGATTTTATGATTGATAATTTTCATTGGATTGGAAGGTTAGGAAAATGGTGCTAAAAAAATTATAGCTTTTTTAGGAAGATTTTGGAGGATTGATTGATTTGATTAAACCTAAAAGTTCTATATTGTGTTCATACTGTATAATTTCATATTAATATCTTACAT